TGATCCCCACCCGTTCCGTCCGCCCCTGGGGCTCACCGGCCTGGAGCCCACGCAGCCCAGTCTGAGCTTCGCGAGCAAACGGGCTTTCTGGCGTCGGCAGCGGGGACGTCTGACCTCCCCGTCTGCGCTCTGACCTCCCACTGTGTGCGATTTCCGATCGGCGGCGGGCTGGCCTCCCGACCCCTGCTCGGCTCACCGACTCCCGAGCCGCGACTCCCATGACTCCCACTTCTCCAACACGCAGGGGTGCCGAGTGGCGAGAAAGCTGCTTGGGGAGGGCCCAGCTGGAGCCCTGAGGGGTGGAACTGACGCCAGGATCCCTGCTGGCAGGTGGCAGAGATCCTGGCTGCACAGCCTCTGCGAGGAGACTTGAAATGCCCCCCGCTGACCCGGGAGGTCTACACTGTAGCCTTCCCACTGCCCGAGGTGGAGATCCCCCCCAGGCCTGACAGCATGGGCATCGGGAGGGAATTCTTCAGCTCCCTGCAGCTCTCCCTCCTGTCAGCCCCTAGGGCCCCTTTGAACGGCCCGGGGCCCTGGTACCTGGTGCGGATCTCAGCCCTTGCCATTTGCTCTGCTCGTGCTGGGCTTGCTGGGGTTGCAGGCCAAGGACCAGCCACTGGACCACGCAGGAGAGTGCTCTGGGGAGAAGGCGGCCATCTGCCTTGCCTGGCTAGGTGAGTCTGCCACCGGGGGCGGGGCCTGGGGCCGGGCCTGAGTTCAGAGATGGGGGCTCATGAGCTTTCTGTCACCCCTTCAGGCACCCTGGTTTTTATCTCTGGCCTTATCGCCACAGGCACCAACACACCAGTGTGAGTGGCTGTGGGAGGGTTGGGGCCTGGGCTGGGCTGGCCATGCCTCCCTCATGTGCCCCTCTGCAATACCTGTGCCTCGTGGAATATTTCCAAGATTGGCCTCATGGTCAAGGTGAGCCAAGGGAGAAGGCAAGGAAACAAACGTGTTTGAGGCCCAGCCTAGGCCTGGTGCTGGGCATGTGGGCCCTCTGTCCCTCCCTCGCAGCCGGGCTCTTTGACCACCCAGGGGAGGTGTCTTTCAGCATCTTCACATCTTTTGGGGCCATGGCCTTCCTGGAGCGCTGGAAGTCCAAGAGCACCACCTTGGCCCACGACTGGGACTGTGGCAACTTCCAGGATGAGATGGCGATGCCCCATTCAGCCCTCCAGGCCCAAAAATCTGCCTCCCAGAGTTCTCAGATGCCATAAGGTATGCTGGGAAGAGCTCAGACTTTGGAGCCCAGCATTCCAGGATCCAGATCTGGCTTCATCCCACACTTTTTCTGGGCCACCGTTCCACCCTCCCCTGACATCAGGGTGACAAAAGGTTGGCGAGGTGAAGCATGGAGTATATGGGGTTGAGCTGGGCCTGAAGGAGACCCAGCCCAGAATCAGGAGGGAGAAGCTTCCACTCACCCACCTGTCCATCCAAGCAGCCAGTCATTGATCCTGAACTTGTTCATATCTCTCCACCTCTGCTGTCACACCCCATTCCACCCCATCTGGTCCAAACCACCATTCTCTCCCATCTAGACCACAGCAGTCACCTCCCAGTGGGTCTCTCTGCTCTTATGCTTGCCACTTAACTCATTCTCAGCTGCCAGAGCCATCTTTTGAAAACACAAATTACCCTCCTCAATGCCTTCCAGTGGGTTCTCATTTGGGATGTATCTGGGAAACCATCTGAACCTTTCACAGTGACCTACAAGGCCTTCTGTGATCTGGCCTCTGGCTAGTTCTGCCCCACTGGCCCCCTTGCTTGGCCCCACTGGTTCCTTGAATAGGTCAAGGTCATTTCTACCCCTAGGGCACTAACACTGCTATTCTACAGTCTTCTTCTTCCAGACTTTTTTTTTTTTTTTTGAGTTGGAGTCTCACTCTG